AAAATATAAAAATTTAGTACTTGTTTCTGTAAAATACGCATAAAACAATAATGTCAAAGTTTTAATATAAAGATTGTATAGTGTTTAATAATCTGTAATTATCTCTATTATTTTATAAAAACAATGCAACTTGACAGATTTTTTTCGTCGTCCTAATTAAAAATTTTAGAGAAATTTTAATTTAATTATCATTTCGTGTAATCTAATTTGTATAACATAATATTTATTATTAATAACAACTTTCATGAAGTAAATAAAGATCATTAAAATTTCGCCAAAAAGTTGTACTGTATATTTGATATCATTGGTCAATGAATTGCGAATTAACAATTAATATTCTGTTTTTAAAGTTTATTAAAAAGCATTAATTTTATTACAACCCTAAGCATTAAGTATACCGTTGCAGATTATGAAATTTCCAATATATTTTGAAAGTTGTGCAATTATAAGCATATGAATAGCATCAAGTGAATAAACAAATTCAGTAGAAATGTTACTCTTTGTTTAATACTATTTACTGGGCCAGGTGTTCAGGATATATAATATTAATGGATTGCAGATAAATTTTGACTTGCCTCTTGTTCGGTCTTCAATATGGCCAAACTATTAGCAAATCTAGTGCATAATAAAGAAAACTATTATTCAATTTTAAGGCCTGGACGTTTTTGATAGTGAGGCATGTGGTAATCTGGGCTTTGGTAATCTTGATACCATACATAGTCTTTTAGTAAGTTCGTGATAATACCTCTTGATACGCATCTATATAATACTATAAATTTAGAAAAGCATTTCATTACAAAAAAAAAAAATAAAAAATCAATAAAAAAATAAACTTACTTTAAATTTTTTGATGATTTCAACGATCTTTCCTATCTATAAGAAACATGATCCAGAATCTGGCAAAACAAATGCATCGTATTCATCAACCACGTACACATTGTCGATTAGATGCATACACAAGAAATGGAACTTCCGTCCTATTTAAAATCAAATAATTCAGCGAGTTTTTGATAGAAAAAAATATACAAGATATGTAGATACTTACCGAAAAGAGAATTGCGAATGATTGCAATTTTTTGGGCGTGTTGATCTGTTGATTTGCATCTTAATACTATAATGAAATCATCATGGCTATAATGAATATAAAAATGCCGATATAGTTAGGTATCGAATATAGTCAAATAAATATAATTTATTATCACCTTTCAATAATTTTTCTAAATCGCTATTTTTATCTGACGTATTGGAAGCAAACGCATTGCCCACAACTTCCATATAACCAACGCTAACTTTAATGCTATTCAAATTGTAATAAAGGATTCCATCGTGTTTATCTCCCAGTA